TATACGAAACCAGTTGGGTCTATTAAATCTAGTGTGTAGTTTAATTCTGATGTTTGTTGAATTTTTTGTCTGGATGATCTGTTCATTACTGATAGTGGGGTATTAATGTCCCCTACTGTTACTATACTGTAGTCTATCTCTCCCTTTAGATCTGTTAGTGTCTGCTTTATATACTTAGGTGCTCTAGTGTTGAGTGCATAGATATCCATAATCATTATATCCTCTTGTGGAATTGATCACTTTATAATTATATAACAACTGTCTCTGTCACTTTTTACATTCTTTGACTCATAGACTATTTTTTATGATATATAAGCATAACTACTCCTGCCCTTTTTTCATTTCTACTTGCATAGAATATATTTCTCCATCCCTTCACTTTTGGTCTATATGTGTCTTCATAGATTAGGTTGTTTTTTTTGTAGGTAGCATATAGTTGGGTCTTATCTTTTTATCTGTTCAGCCGTTTTATGATTTTGATTGGAGAATTGAGTCCGTTTATATTCAGTGTTATTTTTTACAGGTAAAGATTTACTACTGCCATTTTTTTGCTTGTTTTCTTGTAATTTTATAATCCATATCTTCCTTTCTTACTGTCTTCCATTATGGTTAAGTGATTTTCTCTGGTAGTATGTTTTAATTCAGTGCTTCTTATTTTTACTGTGTCTTTTATAGATTTTTGCCTTGTGGTTACCATGAGACTTACAAAAAAACATTTTAAAAGAGATGACAACTTAGATCACAAAGAAAAGAATAAAAGCAAACAAAGAGAAAACTAAAAAAAACCCCTCTAACTTCACTCTCCCCTCCACATTTTGACATTTTGTTGTCTCAATTTACATGTTTTTATATTGCTTATTTCTTAACAAGTTGCTATAGTTATTATTTGTCTTGATAGATTTGTCTTTTGACTTTATACTAGAGTTATGAGTGGATTCTGCACCACAATTACAGTATGAGTATTTTGGGTTTGTCTGTGTACTTACTTTTAGAGTAGGTTTTATACCATCCAATGTTTTCTTTCTGTATGTTCATGTTTTTTATTGTTTCAGATTGAAGAACTGCCTTTAGCATTTCTTTTAAGATGAATCTGGTGATGGCAAATTCTCTCAGCTTTTGTTTATTTGGGAAAGAATTTATCTCTCCATCATATTTGAAAAATAGCTTTTCTGGATATTTTTCTTTCATTGTTTTTAAAATGCCATCCTACTCCCTCTTGGACTGTTTGGTTTCCATTGAAAAATCTGATCCCAGGCAAACTGAAGCTCCCTTATATGTTATTTGCTTCTTTATCTGCTATTGGGATCCTCTCTTTGTCCTTGACCTTTGAGAGTTTGATTATTATATTTTTGTAGTCTGATTTGGGTCAAATTAGTTTGATGCTCTCTAACCTTCCTGTACCTGGATATATGTATCTTTCTCAAGTTTTGGAAAGTTTTCTGTTATTATTTCTTTGAATAAGCTTGCTACCCCTTGCTCTTGGTCAATGCCCTTTTTAAAACAAAGAATTCTTAGATTAGTCTTTTCAGGTAATTTTCTGTATTTTTTAGGCAATCCTCATTTATTTCCATTTTTTTTCTTTTTTCTCCTCTGAGTGTGTGTTTTCAAATAGCTTATCTTTGAGCTCACTGATTGTTTCCTCTGCTTAATCCATTCAGCTTTTGAGAGCTTCCAATGAATTTTCAGTTCAGCAAATGTATTTCTCAGTTCTAAGATTTCTGTTTGATTTTTTTTTTTTGGTCATTTCAATCTCTCTGTTAAATTTCTCTGATAGATTTCTGAGGTTTTCTGTGTTATCGTGGAGATCACTGAGTTTGCTTAAAACTGCTATTTTGAATTCTTGGTCAGAGAGCTTGCCTATTACCATCTTGTTAGAGTCAGTCACTAGTTCCTTGCTTCATCTGTTTGGAACAGTCATGATTACTTGTTTGCTGTCATTTCTTGGCATTTAAGTATTAGTTATTTATTCCAGTCCTCCCTTTCTGGTTTGTTTTGGTTTTTATTGAATATGTTTGCTTAGAGATTGTTTGTAATTTACCTGCTGAATTTTTTTCCTGCTAGACTGCTGCCTTGTTTTTGGCGCTAGATGATGCTTTAAGCCCAAGTTTGCCTTAGCTCTAGTGAACAATTACGGCCCTGTGTATCCCAATGGGGGAGGTCCCAAAGGGGATATCCCAGCAGTATGGAAAGGCTGGTTAGGGGTTTATGTCCAGGGGACCTGTGGAATGTGTCTCCTACAGCATGGTGCTGCTGAATAGCCATTCTGATTTGGCTTCTCTTTTTGCTGCGTTAAAGAGCAGATTCCACGCTTGAGATAGTAGTCCTGCCTCCCCCTTAGTCTGAGACTGTCCTCAGGGATATATCTCTTTTCAAGCACTTGTGATGCTTCTTGTGGGTTGAGGCAGGAACAGATCTGCCACCAGGAAACCCACAATGGTGGAGAAGCTTGCTGTCTACCTCAGTCTCACTTTTTTCATGAATCAGGGGGAAATTTTCCCCATACGTGGTGCCAGGCAGATTGGAGGGAAGGGTGTTATGGATATGGAAGTCTAATTTTTTTACCATCTGCTCAGAGTTTTTTCACTTCTTTGTGTCCCTGGAAACTGTCTCACCCTCATATCTGAGTTCTGGGATATTGCTGGTGGTAATCTTAGTGCTATATATTTGTTTTTGGTGTTTTGGTGTGGGAGGTGAAATAAAGATAGCTTGCTTTTATGCTGCCATTTTGGAACTAATAGTTCCACACCCTACTCTAATATGTTTTACATGTAGAAATAAACATACCCAGTGTTCTCTATAAACATAGACTCTCTAAAGGAAGTAATGGCTAAAAGTCAAACTTTTGGGGATGGGGAGAAAGATTTTAGAAGTTTTAAATGGTCCATCCATTAGATAATCATTTCTGAATTAATTGGGAGTGGACTCAACATTTGAATAAGATTTTACAGACTACTATTTTCTATTCAGGAAACAGCTGGCTAGCTGAAAGTATACAAAAAACATCACTTTCATCAACCTTTCATAGAATTTACCTTTCAGGATAATTTCAGCCTCTGTCCTACTTCCTTTTTTTTTTTTCAGTACCAATACATCTTTATTTATTCATTATATTTTCCCAGGGAAAGTAGAAAGGAAGGGAAAAGAGTCAGCATGTGTGCTACAAAATGATTAGAAAATGGGAAAGGAAGTACCCAATACAGCAAAATCAATCATCAAATAAACATACCCCAGGATGGGGGTCCACCAAAGCCCAAGGGGGCTCAGTCTCCTGCAGTTCAGAAATAAGGGGAAGGGATCAGGAAAACGATAGACAAGTACAAGCTTTCCTACCCTCCCTCCCTCCCCATAAATTCAAGATTTCACAAAGCTTTGGTTTCTAGCAGTAAACATGGAGTTACATTCGTCCGTCTCCTATTAAACAATCTTGTGGCCACTTTGACATAAGTTTCTTGCACCTGTATAATAAAAGTTCCTGAATGACTTGGATATACATTCATAATCCCTCTCTTGGTCTCCTGCCTTGACTTTCTACATGGAAGGCCCCCAATTGCGTCTCTCTACTTTCGGATTACAGATTAAATAGGTTTGATCCATCCAAAATACAGCAGTGTTTCAAGTGTTTGGCATGAATCACCATCAAGAAATGGTCTTGACTTAAGAGGTTGGGAACAAGGGATGGAGGGTTCCTAGCTTCTTCAGGAGTTTTTCATAAATCATTGAAGAGCTGTGGAGACATCCCAAGAATTAAATGCATCATGTGTGTGGGTGTGTAGGCTTTCTTTTGGGTGGGATGGGAAAGAGGGTAGGGAGACAAAGTTTTTAGGACAGAAGATCTGGTGGAAAATAGGAAACAGGGGAAGGGGAATACAAAAGAAAAAGGTCAGTGTTCAAGATCCCCACTTCAAGAAGAGGGCCTCCCCAAACTAATGTTTCAGATCTTTTTGCCTGGTGCAGAACCTTCTGTCAAAGATGCTTTGGCTATTTTTCTCTCAATACAAAAAGAAGTTTGTAAACAATAAAACCCCAAAAGAACATGAAAACCAACACATTATATTTACACAAACTAGGCCACCTAGCAATCACCAACTCAGTAAAGTCCTACAAAGCCCAGACAAATACAATAACTGGAGGGGGGCAGCATTTAGGGGAGACAAGAACCCAGGATCAGACACACACCACCCAATGCATTCTATTGCATTTGTCCCGTTTCAACACAGTGAGGTAGGTGTGCGGTGATCTCACAGCATATAAATGAAACCCCCTTTGCTCCTTCAGCTACCATGACACTATTAATGACTACTGCAGCAGGACGGGACACTGGCTCCGGGCACCACACAAGGCCCTTGTTTATGGGTCTCCCTGGAACCTAAGCAATTTGAAAGGTTAAGGATTTTAGTCCTCAATTCATATATCCATCCCTTAACAGCATAGGATGAGTACAGGGGTATTGGTCTTAAAACTTATCCTTACTGACTCAGTTTTTACAAAAACACACATACACCCTGTTGTGCATGATAGACCTAGCCTAACCCAGTGAAGGATGGATTGGGTATGTAAAGCATGTCCTGTGCCCTAGGATTAGATAATCCTCACCTAACCTTGGCTTCCTCTGGGCCTTTCGCCTGGCCCAGCCTCTTCTAACTTCTCTGCACCACCTTTTGCTGTTGAGACTAATTTCTAATCTTCCAGTAGGAGGTGATCAAGTCATGGGGCAACCCAGTTAGAACCTAGTCTCCCATGAAACATTTTCAAGGTGGAAGGGGTTTCAAGTAGACACTATGGCAGAAAAGACAGCTCTAATTGGCAAAAATGAGGTAGTTCAATAGGCTATGCACTCCAAATAGTTGCTCTTTATGGTGATAAAAACAACAAAAAACATTCCTGCTGTGCAGACCTGGAGATGCTGCCGAACTTATCCCTGAGATTGCTCGTGTACCTGAGAAGACAGTGCAGGAATGAGGGCCTTAGATTAAAATATACAAAAATACAAAACCAGAATATTTATATTAAGAAAAAAAGTTAAAATGCACAAGATACGTCATTCGCACATAGCTAGTGCAGTTGGCATCCTGGAGAAAGTGGGACCCAAGGTGCAGTTACCCAAGGGAGCAAATAAATAAAATCACATTGGCCCAGAATGGGGTGGGAGTGAGTTTAGGAGCAGCAGGTCTGCAGCTGTTCTCCTCCAACCACCCTTTTTGCCTGTCATCACTACCCATTGCTTGGGACAGTTCCCAGCACCCTATCTCAAGAATGGGTATGAGAATACAAGATGTGGAAAAAACCCTGCCTTTCTCCTGAGAGAGTCCCTCCCAGAGAATGTAGTGGCTTGTGGGTGGGGTCCATTAATCTGGTCTTGTACTTAATCGCTTCACTCTGGCATGGGCATATTATTACATATCCTTCTTTAAAAGGAAAACAACTTCCTATCCAGGCCACTTTCAAAACGTAGAGATTCTGGGGATGGAGTCTCAGATAAAGCATTCAGGTTCTAGGGTGATTTCCCCCTAAAGCCCTCCCTTGCATTTGGATAGAGCATGGGGAGGGTTCCTTTGCCTCACCCTTTTCCCCCACCCAGAGGGAAGAAGGGGTGATGCCATGACCCGGCCTGAGATACATGGCAGTGCCAACCACCCCCAACCCACCCTATCTCCACTTTCTCCACTCTGCCTGCTCATTGAAACTTCCTGATAGCGAAAGAATAGCCCCCATCCACTGTGGCTCAATTCTGGGCCTCTGGGAGCACGGCAGGGCTGTGGATCTCTTCTTCTTCCTCCTGAAAGTAGGCTGGCTTTCCCTGTGCGCTAGGGGCCTGCTGGACCTTCAGTGGACATGAGGCTACCATGTGGCTGATGCTCTGGTAGAAGTGGCACTTCTTGGGCTGGGGTGGCAGCTTGCATTCCTTAGCATGATGGTCTAGACCTCCACAGTTGTAGCACCTGTCTCCTTTTGATCTGCGCTTCTGCATGTTCTTACCCTTTGGCCGTCTCTCACTCCCAATACAGAACACCTCACCAGGTCCAGTGACTCGGATAGATTCCAGGCCCTTGGCAGACTTCTTAAAGGTGAACTCGACTGCCTCGCCCTCCTTCAGGCTCCGGAAGCCGTCCACGTGCAGCTTACTCTGGTGCACAAAGACGTCCACAGGGGGGTCGAGCGCGACCCCGGAGCGGGCGGTATGGACAGGAAGCCGAACCCCATGCGCAGGTTGAACCACTTACAGATGCTGGCACCACGTAGCAGCTGCGGCTCGTCGCAGCCCGGGCCGCGTCCTCCGGCGCCTTGGCGCAGCCACCTGCAAACTGCTGGTTGGACACGGAGCCCATGGTCGTCGGCTGAGCCCGCGGCCCCTGGCCCCTGCTCCCTGCTCAGGCGGCTGCTGGCCCCAGAGAAGTCCGGAGGCAAAGGAGTGGTTGGGAGAAGAGGCAGCTACATCTTCCCCCGCATAATAGCGGTGGGAGGGCCCCTCCGTCCTACTCTCTAATATGAAAATTCACAAATAAACTATAGTTACTACCCATTTTTCTTTTATAAAAGCAGCAATTAGCCCAGTGGTGTGAAGAATTATTTTAAAAGAATACTGTTTGTGGGAATTGCAATCTTTGATAGTGTTCCAAATGCCGGCTACAGACATAAAATGGAATTTAAAAGCTGTACTTGTTTCAAACATATTTGAAACACGGACTTTGGTGGGGGGGGGGAACCAAGGGCAACACACGTAACCTAAACGCATGTACACCCATTATTTGCTGAAATAAAAAAAATAAATAAATAAAAAAATAAATAAATAAAAGCTGTACTTGTTTCACTTCCATTGAACAAGCAGAAAATAAATTTCAAAATCCTGCAAATATTTTGTAGCTGTTAAAGGGAAACAAGTTTTTAAGAAATACTATTTTTGCATAAAGCAAGATAAGAATTTAAGAAAAGAAACACTTTGTTGTAAACTTTTCTGTTGAAGCAAACTGCCTGCAAACTTCAAGACATATTTAAGGTGTCAAGATCCATGTCTTAATTATAGGAAAGTTCATAAGATCTTTAAAAGTGTTTTAAGGAAGCCAAAATATCTAGCAGCTGCATACTACATCATAGTTCTTAATCAGATTGCTAATTTCTTGCTCCTTATAAGGAAATACTCATTATTTGTACCACATTTTTTGTTTACCTTTAAAAATCTCACACAATGAAACATTTTATATATGTAGTATTCTGCTAAAATCAGTAAGACATTATCATTAAGAATAAACTAAAATGTATTTTCATATATAGGTTAATACTACCATCTATATACTGATTGTATATCCTTGTTTTATGATAGTAGTCAATGTAACTTGGGAAAATATATGCAAGTGTCCATTTTTCTGAATAATCTACAAATATAAAATATTACAAACCTTAAGTCTTTTGCTGAGGACAGATTTAAATTGAAATATATTGCACTCAGATGCAAGTATCAATTAGGGTATTGCAGCCTGTGTTATATTAACATGTACATCAAGAAGGTAAAAATTACAGTCTAGGGTAAAGTTAATTCTATTACGGGTATTTTATTATTTCTTTTTCTAAAGAAAAGAGATTTATTTGGCTCACAGTTTTGCAAGCTGTACAAGAAGCATGGCACCAGCACCTTCATCTGGTGAGGGACTCAAGCTGTTCCCACTCGTGGTGGGAGGGGAAGGGAGGCCAGCATGTGCAGAGATCACATGGTACAGAGGAAGCGAGAGGGTGGGATGGGGTGGGGTGCGGTGGGGTGTAGGGGGGAAGGTGCCAGCTGTTTTTAATAATCAGCTCACCTGGGAACTAACAGAATGAGAACTCACTCAATACTTCAAGGACAGTAGTAAGCCATTCACAAGGGGTCTATCCCCATGACACAAATACCTCCCATTAGGCCTACAGACATCCAAACTATAGCCTCCTGCTATAAAAAGGGCTTGTGGGAGTGGATTCTCTCTCTTCTGTTCTGCTATATCAGGACCTGGTGTTCCTCCCCTCTGGAGGATGCAGTGTTCAAAGCACCATCTTGGAAGCAGAGATACTGGGCCCTAACCCGCCAACACCTTGATCTTGGACTTCCCAGCCTCCAGAACTATCAATCATAGGATGGTTCATGAGGTATGAATGAGGTATTGCATATTAAGAACATAGCACTCTCTTCCTCATATGGTCTTGTCTCCTCTTCCAGTTCTGGTCTGGTCTTCTGGTTCCAGTCTCATCCCTCCTTCCAGTTCCGAGCTTGTCTCGTCTTCTGGTTCCTATCTTATCTCCTCTTCTGGTTCCGATCTCCTTTTCCGGTTCCAGTCTCCTCTTCCATTTCCGGTCAGGTCTTCTCTTCTGGTCTCCTCTCTTTTTTTCAGTTCCGGTCAGCACTTCTGAATCCGGTCTCGTCTCCTTTTTTCCGGTTCTGGTGTGCTCTTCTGGTTCCAGTCTCCACTTCCGGTTCCGCTCTGGTTTGGTCATCCATTGCTGGTCTGTCTCCTCTTCTGGTCTCGTCTATTTTTTCCGGTTCCGGTGTGCTCTTCCGGTTCCGGTCTGGTCTCTTCTTCCAGTTCCGGTCCTGTCTCCTCTTCTGGTTCTGGTTCCTGTCTGGTCTCCTCTTCCAGTCTTGTCTATTTTTTCTAGTTCTGGTGTGCTCTTCTGGTTCCGGTCTCCACTTCCGGAGCTGATCTCCTTTTTCCCGGTCCAGGTCTGATCTGCTCTTCCGGTCTCGTCTATTTTTTTCCGATTCCAGTCCTCTCTCCTCTTCCGGTTTCGGTTCCTATCTGTATTCTCTTCCTGTTCCGGTGTGCTCTTCCGGTTCAGTTCTGGTCTGCTCTTCTGGTTCCGGTCTGGTCTCCTCTTCTGGTCTCGTCTATTTTTTCCAGTTCCGGTGTGCTCTTCCGGTTATGGTCTCCTCTTCTGGTTCTCGTCTCGTCTTTTTTCAGTTCCGGTCTGGTCGCCTCCTGCAGTCTCATCTCCTCTTCCAGTTCTGGTCTGGTCTCCTCTTCCCGTCTCATCTCTTTTTGAAGTTCCTGTCTCCTCTTCTGGTTCCGGTGTGGTATCCTCTCCGGTTCCAGTCTCCTCTTCCTATTACAGGCATTTTAAAACAATGGAGAAACTTAGAAGAGTGGAAAACTTACATGAGAATAAAAAAATATACTCCAAGAAGGAACCAACAGAAGGTGATACAAATGTTGTAGGATGTTCGAGGTCACACCAACAACATAGCCTAGAGCAAAACACAGACTGCTTATTTCTGCTCTAGTATTATCCCCTTAGCTCAATGGACCCTGGGAATTTTATATTCATGAAATAGTTTAAATATACAAAAAGGATAGCCAATATTTAAACATGTATTAATGTTTTTACTTCCCAATCTTGACAATTATTGTTTGTCATACTTAAATAAAATCTTTTTTTTTCTTAGTCAAAATTCCATAGGTTTGCCCTGTAGTGACTCCAGAAAATGTTGTGCTTTTGTAGATTATTTGAGTTTTCTTTTTTGGAGTGAGATAATTCTCTTTCCAGATTTCTATATCCCAAGTGGAAGCCAAAAGTCTCATAGGAGTTAATTTTTACTTTTCATTTACTAATACTGATAAAATTCCACTTTGAATCATACTCACCTTTTAACATGTACACTATATCATCTTGAACCATATCAATTCTTTAAATGTCAGCAAGCAACATTAAGAATTCATGGATATTTTCTTCACAAATTACCCATATCTACAAGAAGCTTGACTTTACACTCTAAGACTGAAAGCACATAATTTTGTATTTCAGGGGTATATAATAAAATTTACTTTGGCCTTTAATTATAATACACAATGACATCTGTTTCCTTAATTTAGTCTCCACAAAAGGCAGCTCAGATAAACTATACAACATAAAGTTTGAGTTTTTGTTGTTATTGTACAGTGTTTCTTTTTTTCCTTCCAAGACAACAGCTGCTTGGTGGTTACCTTGAGCCTTAAGGAGACTTTGTAAGATTGTATGTTTACATAATTTTACTATTATTTTATCACTCAGCTGCAAAATCAGTAGTTAAAGCTAAGAACAACTTTAAATCTTTATGTTAATAAAAACAAAACATTTCATAAATTAGTTTTTACCTTTTTACTTTTCCTTGGTATGCAATTACATTAACAATGCTATTGCAGTAACCATTGCTTTATTATATTATTACTTGTAGTGAAAGTATATTCATTTTAGGGAATTAATCTTTTCTGCATAGTCTCAAAATTTTGAAATTTTGTATTTTAATAATACATTTAGATCATACAGAGAAATATCCTCTAAAACCCACCTCAGTGATTTTATTAAATATGAAGATTTAAAAACAAAATTCCAAGATTGACAGGAGTTTGCCATGATTTCAGTCTGCTATTTTCTGTGAAAAAAAATTAAGAAACATAAGGTCCTATTTCTAAATGTTTGGGGTTAAAATATTATTCTATGCTTTTATTAGTAACTGAACTAGCTGGCACATTTCTGGAATCCAGTTTAAAAGGACTGAGTATTCATACATGTGTATAGGCAATGATAATGAAAGAAATATTAAGCTCCTGTTCTTAAGTCAGCTGCTGGTAAATTCACTATAGCTCTATAACATGGGATTTCTTAAATAATTTATTTTCTAGATTTTATTTAGTTAATTA